GACTTGACTTATTCTTTTTGTGTAAGTTTGAGGTTTAGCATTAGGTTATATATTTGTGGTTATTCTGTTTTCCTGATAAGAGAATTCACTGCTATACAGTTCTCTCTTAGGACTGCTTTCATTGCATCTCATAAGTTCCAGTACATTGTATTGGCATTATCATTTAATTGTTACTACTGTTTAACTTCTTTAATTTCATCTGTGACCCATTGGTTGTTCAGGAGAAAGTTATTTAATTTCCATGCATTTATGTAGTTTTTGTGGTTTCTTTTGCCATTAATTTCCAGTCTCATTGCGCTATGATCTGATATTATGCATGGGATAATTTCATTTCCTTTGCATTTACTTAAGCATGTTGTATGGGCTACGATGTGGTTATTTTGGAGAATGTCCCAAGTGCAGCTGTGAAGAATGTGTATTGTTTTTTTTTTTTTGGTACCGGGAATTGAACCACAACCTTGTACTTACCAGGTAGGCACTGTGCCGCTAAGCTAAATCCCTAGCCCCAAGAATGTGTGTTCTAATGTTTTGAGGTGGAACACTCTGTAGACATCTTCTAAGTACCATTGTTCATTAGTTTGTTTCAACTGTGTATTTCTTTCTTCGTTTGTTTTCTGGCTGATACATCTGTTTGTAACAGTAGGGTATTAAAATCTCACATTACAATTATATTAGTGCTTATTTGATTTTTCTTATCCATTAATATTGCTTTTATGTGGTTGGGTGCACTTGTGTTTGGTGCATATATATTTGATTGTTATCTCTTCCTCCTGAATTTTTCTGTCAACAAGTGTGTAGTGACCTTCTTTATCTCTTGATCAGATTTGTCTTGAAGTTGACTTTGTCTGTAATTGGAATCACTACACCTTCTTTTTTTGGAGTTTGACCTCATGCATGAAGTATTATTTCCATCCTTTGACTTCCAGGCTGTGAATTTTTTATTTAAATGTGTTTATTGGATCCTACATATTGTTGGATCTTGTTTCTTGATCCATTCTTCCATTTTTGATGTTGTCCTGATTACTTTTCTCTTGTGCTGAGACAAAATACCTGATGCCAAAATTAAGGAAGGAAAGGTTTATTAAGTTAATTTGTGGAGGTTTCAGTCCATACTTGGCTGGCTCCAAGGCAGAGTGGCACATGGCACTGGGAAACAGTTCATGGCAGCAGAAAACAGCAAAAGCAAGAACAAAGAGGGAGGAGTGGCAGAGGGAAGAGCAAGCCTCTTTCCGTCCGTTATATTGTATGCAAACTATCCGCCCCCGGGCAAGTGTAGCTTTCCCAACCATAATCCCAACATTGGACCATGAATCAATCATAAACTCTAAAATCTTCCTCCATGACTGCATGGGGCTTTTGGGAGACATCCAGACACAGACCATGAGATGGTGAATGGAGACCATGTACATTGATGATTATAACTGATATATATTGACCTATCTTTGTCATTTTATTTTCCCATTGTTGCTTCCAATTGCTTGCTTTGCCTGATGGATTCTTTCTGTTGGCGTTTTTGGGATTATGGTTATCTTTATGTTTGTATCTTTCTAAAATATTTTCCAGAGCATTCCAGATTCATTTTTTAGGGTTGGTTTGGTGGTCATGAGTTTTCTTCAGTTTCTTCAGGTGCTCTTTGTCATGGAAGCATCCTATTTCTCCATTGATTTGGAATGATAGTTTTGCAAGATACTCCAATCTGGGTTGGAAGTTGTTATCTTTCAGAATTTGAAATGCTTCTCTGCAAGCTCCCCTTGACTTTAGGGTTTATGTTGAGTTTAAGTCTGCTGTGATTCAGATAGGATTTCCTTTATAGGTGATTTTTTTCTTTTATCTAACAGGTTTTAACAGATTCTTGTGCTAAATTTGTAGAATCTTGATTATTACAAGCTTTGATATAGATTTATTTTGTTCATGAATACTTGGATTTCTTTGTGCCTCACTTAACTGTATGTCTAATTCTTTTTCCATCCTTGGGAAGTTTTTTCCCATTATTTCAATGAACAGGTTTCTTTATGTTGGTTGTGCTGACTCCTGATTTTTCATTGAGTCAGACCATTCATAAATTGTTCTTTTTTTGCATCAGGTTGTAGCTGTTGGATTGCTTTTTCATGGTCCCTTGCTATTTTTAAGAGATCTTTCTGTTCTTGATCACTAACCAATATCCTGTCTTCTAAGTTTGATATTTGTCTTCACCTTCATTGTCAATCTTGTAAACTTGCAATGAAATTTGCATTCTGTTCTATTTGAGTCTGTTTCCTAGATTCCATTTATTTCCCATGTTGAGTATTCAGGGTTTCAATTATTTTACTTTGCTCCTCTATTTTTTTAAATCTGTGTTTAGGTTTTCTGAGCAAGTCCATCATTATGGTCATCAATGCCTTTTTAACCTAGGAGATTATTTTTTCTGTGATTTTTTTTTTTTTTTTTCTGTACCCTCATGCATTTGTTTTCAAACTTCTGCTATTATTATTCCACATTATTCATGTGCATGGCTTCTGATTTCCTTTGTGTCTTTGTTCCCTGAATTTGCCTAGAATAGGATGGAGGTCTGGGATTGCACTTTACGTCTGTGTCTTGTAATTTTCTGTTTTTTTTTTTTTTTTTAATTTTATTTTTCTGTGTTGATCCTTGTAAGTTTCTTACAGTAGATAGCTTTATCACTAATATTAAGGCTTCCTTAGGAGATATCTGTTCCTCAGAGAGGTCTTGTAGATATAGGTGGTTTTTGATCTTTTTGTCTATCCTACCTTCCCAATTTATTAATGATGGGATGTTGCTGTTGATTTGGCTAAACACCTAGTCCTTTGGTGCTGGATTATGGAAATGATTATGACCCCAATCACAGTGTTGTCATACATGGGTGAACAGCTGATTATAACAGGGATGATATCCTGGCTAAAGGAGTACAGTTAGAGATAAAAATAACATCAAACACAGCCTACAACCTAACAGACTGGTAATTATTAATTTGATACCTTTAACCATAGGCACAAGATCTACAGTTGTATAACAAAACCTAGCATTATTTTGTAACTTGTATATAAAGATTTTCCCCTTAGGAGAGTGATTTTACCCTTTGATGGGGAAACTTAAGAGGGATAGGAGTCAAAACAGAAAGCTGAATCAGGAGAAATTTAGTAGAAGCAAGCCTGGAGGACAAAACCGGGCTTTGGGAAATTGGAGAAGAGGGCATGAGAGACAGAAAGAAAGAGAGAGCAAAAGATTTTCAAAGTAGACCACAGAGACTGGAAAGAATACTCACTCACATGTAACTATCACAAAATCAGACATGTAGTTAAGGAAGAGAAAGAAGACAAATAGATCAGAACAAGAGTAAAGGCAAAGACTTAAACAACCTAAAAAAAAAGTCAAAAAACCTGTTTGTCTCTGTGTCTCTTTCCCAGTTGTTTTACAGTCCTCAGATAGAGACAGTCTAAGGCTGCTTCCAGTGTGTGCAATTGGATCCTCCTGGTCAGACCAGCCTTCTCTGTTCCACTTCCATTGGCAAATCTCAGTCTTCTCATGCTGCATGTTGCAGGTTGGGGTGTGGTGGGGTATAGGCCGTCTCTCTGCTGCTGCTGTCACTGAGGAGACAGCCAGTCCTGCTTTGATCTTCTCTACTGTGTGTGTGTGTGTGTGTGTGTGTGTGTGTGTATGCACACTTGTGCCAGACTCAATGGTCGCAGGGTGGGAGGGGTTGTGCTATCCACTCACTGCTCTTCACTGCCAGCATGATCCCTAGCCTTACTGACTCACTCCTTCTGTCACTGTCCCAGAGTTGGACCCCATGCTTTTAAAGCATGGTTGTGGCTTGAGTGTGTGTCTGCAGAGAGTAGAGTAGTCTCCTCAAGAGCCCATCCTCCTATTCCAGCCATACTCAGACCTGGCTCCTGTATAGCTCGCCACCCTAATCCTTTTTTTTTTTTTTTTTTTAATTTGAGGGAGTGGCGATATTCGTAAATATCATTCCAGCATTAATTTCAGAAATTGGAAATACTCATTTAGCAGCTTGTTAAATTTATTTTTAAATCACTTACCTATCATAGCTCCCTCAGTCGGTTCTTCCTTTATCCTTTTTCCTTACATGCTTTCGTCTGGTTTGTATTATTCCATATTTTTTCTTTCAAGAGATCTTTTTTAGCTGTTTCTTT